TACAAAATATGAAAACTCACTCAAGAAAAAATAGATAACCTGAAAGAAACTATTAAAGAAATTAAATTTAGAATTTAGAATTTCCCAAAAAAGAAAACTCCCAGCCTAGATGAACTGACTGACGAATTCTACCAAATATTTGAGAAAGAATAACAATAATTCTACACAGCATCTTCTTGAAAATGGAATAGAAGGAAAAACTTCTCAACTCAATTCATGAGGCCAGCATTACCATTAACAAAACCAGGCATAGATATCACAAAAAAGAAGCTAGAGATCAGAGTTATTCATGGACATAGATGCAAAACTCTTCAACGGAATATTCATAAATCAAATGCACCAATACATAAAAAGAGAAAAAATATGAAGACACAGTACACTTTATCCAAAGAACGTATGCTGGTTTAACATTAAAAAACGATGAATGTATCTCATCATATTAACAGATTAAAGAAGAAAAAAACCCACATGATCTCCTCAAAAGATGTATAAAAATCATTTCATAAAATTTAACTTCTATTCATAATAAAAACCTTCCAGCACACTAGGACTAGAAGATAAATTCCTCAATTTGATACAGGGGACCTATGAAAAAGCTACAGCTAATGTCATATTTAATAGAGGAAAACTGAATAGTTTGTCCTTGGATCAAGAACAAGGCAAGGAAGTCCAGTGTCAACACTTCTCTTTAACACTGTACTGGAGGTTGTGGTCAGCGCAAAAAGGCAAGAAATAAAAGAAGGCATCCTTATTCGGGAAGAAGAAATGAAACTGTCTTCATTCATTGGATGACACGACCATCTAAATAGAAAAATCTGTGGAATCTGAAAAACTAAAAAGCAAAAAATGAAAACAGCCCCAAATAAGAAACTGCTAGAACTAATAAGTGAGTTTGGCAATGTTGTAGGATATAGGGTCAATATACAAAAATAATTGTATTTCTATAAACCAGCAGCAATTAGAAACTGAAATTTAAAAAATATACCATTTGCTGGGGCTGGCCCCGTGGCTGAGTGGTTAAGCTCCCGCGCTCTGCTGCAGGCGGCCCAGTGTTTTGTTGGTTCGAATCCTCGGCGCGGACATCGCATTGCTCATCAAGCTATGCTGAGGCAGCACCCCACATGCCACAACTAGAAGGACCCACAACTGAAAATATACAACTATGCACAGGGGGACTTTAGGGAGAAAAAGGAAAAATAAAATCTTTGAAAAAAAAGAAATAGACTACATATATCAACAACTCATTTTCAACAAACATGAAAAGGCAATTCAGAGGAGAAAGGATAGTCTCTTCAAATAATGATGGTGGGACAATTGGATACCCATGTGTAAAAGAAAGAAAGAAGAACTTCCATTTATATGTTGCACCACATACAAAAATGTACTCTAAATTGATTATAGACCTACATATAAAACCCAAAATTGTAAAGCTTCTAGAAGAATATGTAAGGGAAAATCTTTGTGATCTTGGATTAGGGAATAATTTCTTAAATACAATAAATGAGTGATAATTTAACTTTTTCTAAATTAAGAACTAGATCTTTCAAAATCACTGTTACCAAAGAAATATCTGCACTCCTATGTTTAGTGCAGCATTACTCATGATAGCCAAGATGTGGAAACAATCTAAGTGTCTGCCAATGGATGAACTTAGATGTGGTATATATATACAACAGAATATTATTCAGCTATGGGAAAGAGGAAATTCTGCCAATTTGCAACAAATTGGATGGACATTGAAGGCATTATGCTAAGTGAAATAACCCATAGAAAGACAAATACTTCATGGTATTGCTATATGTGGAATCTAAAAATAAAATCAAACTCATAGAAATAGAGTTAAAAAGTGGTTGCTGCTGGCCAGGGCATTGGGGAAATAGGGAGAGTTTGGTTAAAAAAAAGTACAGGTTTTCAGCTATAAGACTAATAAGGTCCAAGGGTCTAATGTAAAACATGGTAACTTAAGTTGATAACAGTGTACTGTACAATTGAAATTCATTAAACAAGTAGAAATTAAAGGTTCTCACCAAAAATAAAAAGAGAGAGAGATAAGTATATGAGGAAATTGATATGTTAATTAACTGAATGGGGGAGAATCCTTTCACAAAGTATACATATATCAAATCACCATGATGTACAATATTAGTTAGTAGTTATACCTCAATAAAGCTGAAATTTAAAAATAAATAAGTAAAATGTAAAAGACATTGTTAAGAGAACAAAAAGGTGAGCCCAAAACAGGAAAACATATTTGCAACTTACTGGTAAATGGAATATACAAAGAACTCTCAAAACTCAAGAATAAGAACACAAAAGATCCAATTAAAAATGGGCAAAAGATTTTTATAGACACTTTACTGAAACAGAATGGCATATAAACATGAAAAATGAGGCTCAGAAAGACTGACCATACCAAGTGTTGGCATGCATATGGAGCAACTGGTACTCTTCAACACTGCTAGTAGAATATAAAATGGTACAACCACATGGGAAACAATTTGGCAACATTTGAAAATGTTCCACATACTTCTATCATATGATCCAGCTGTTCTACTTTTAGGTATTTACCCACAATAAATAAGAGCATATGTCCATACAAAGACTCATAAATGAGTGTTCATAGAAGCTTTGTTTGTAACACCAAAACCTGGAAAAAACACAAATGTCCATAAGTAAGTGAATACATCATATCTAGTATTCATACAATAGAATACTACTCGACAATAAAAGAAGAATGAACTATTGATATAAGGAACAACCTGGATGCATATCAAAAATAGTTATTCTGAGTGAAAGGAGCCAGACAAAAAAGAATTAATACTGTAAGTCTAGGAAATACAGATAGATCTAGAGTGACAGAAAGCAGATCAGTTTTTGCCTGGGGATGGTGGAAGCAACAAGAGGCAGCAGAAAGTGATTACAAAGGGGATGAGGAATCTTTGGAGAATGATGGGTATGTTCAGTCTCTTGATTTAGGAGATATTTTCATGAATGTGTACATATGTCAAACTTAGCAATCTGTGCACTTAAAGTATGCAAATATTATATCATAATATCACTATATCATAAGTCAACAAAGCTTTAAAAAATCTCTCTGAGAAAATGTCAAATGAATAATTTTGCCTTTATCTTGTTCAATTGCTCGATTGATTAAAGCAGTTCAGGACAAAGATAAAACTAATTGTTTTCACACCAAGTAAAATCTTTCAAAACTGCAGAAATCAATTTAAGTATGTGGACTCCATACTTCTTTTTAAAATTTCTTAACTGATTAAGGTGCTTCTGGGTAAAAATAAAACTAAAAGTGTGTATTCCAGTGAAATCTTTAAATTGTATGAAAAGGATTCACTGTAAAGGTCAGATTCCCACAAGACCTGATGGCATTAAGATGATCCCTATTATATGGAGGAATCCATGAGGAAAACAAACAAAGATGTGAACATATCTGAGAACTATGCAGGAACTCCAAATGAAGATCCTTGTTTCTTTGCAGTCAGCCTTCCTTGTTCCACCACCGCAGACTGGATGTGTGGGGGAGGGTGGATAAGAACAGGTAATGTGCAATTTTACTTTATAAATTTTTATACCCAGGGGAGCCAAGTCTACACCAGAGGTCTGAGAATTTGAGCTGTACATATGAGCTTTGGTCTTTGGGTTATCTTTCTCAGGGAGATGAGAGAATATATTCTACATGAGTGAAGAGGGAGTAAAATTGTATTTTATTACTGGCAATATGGACCATGGAAGAGACATTTGCCACTCACTGAATATCCAAATGCCACCTCATCTTTCGCAGGCCCTTGCAGTTACACTGAGTCTGGGATTTGTTTAGGCCACTGGGGGCTTTAAGCAAAATTATGTGCCACTTTGGGACTGATTTATTTAAGAGGCTGAGCATGAACCTCTATGACCCTCTCTTCCTCAGTGAGGGACTTTGAAGGCCACGTGTTGGGTGTTAGATCTTCCATCAGCCTGCATTTCTGAGAGAGTATGTGGAGAAGAGCTGCCCCTGCCCCACCCAGTATCTTTAAACTAAATTGGTTATCGAATATGAACTGATAAATTATCCTTTTATGAAACTATTTTAGATGCTACAGCATAGCCTATCCTGTCATGTTTCATACGAGCAGTAAAAATTAATAATTAATAGTCAACAAAAATGAAATGATGATGGTTGTTGATATTTTACTTATACCCCATCAGAATTAAATATGACTAAGCAAATAGGATCACCTCAATGTCTGACAAAGTTATGAAAAATATACACAGATGTCATACTCATGGTCTATGAGGAAAAAATATTATATATTTAGTTCTTTCCTAAATGGTTTTATTGAGATATAATTCACATATGATATATACACCCATTTTAGTGTTTATTTGATGGTTTCTAGTATAGTCACAAATATGTGCAACCATTACCATATTCAATTTGAGAACATTTTCATTATCTCACATAGAAATCCCATACCATTTAGCTATCAGCTCCCTATTTCCTCATCACCCCATCCCACTCCCACCCCATCTCTGAGCAACCACTAATCTACACTGTTTCTATGGATTTTCCTATTCTTGACTTTCATACTGGAATCATATAATATGTGGTCTTTTGTGCTGGTTTCTTTCATTTAGCATAATGTTTTCACAGTTCACCCATAATGTAGTATGTATCAGTGTTACTGCACAAAGTTGGGTTTCTCTTGCCTGATGCACATTAAAAAACAATTAATTATGGCATCGGGTTTTGGAGGAGAAATCAGCTTTATTCTGCAAAATCAATCTGCAAGCAGACAGGTTCCATGTTCCATCAGATTCATCTCCTAGATTCAAGATTTGGACTGAAATATAAGAGGTTAGGGAGAACAGTCTGGCACACGGACATGCTAGTAGGATAGGTTTTGATTGGTGGCCTCAAACATTTATGGTAAGATTCTAAACATTTATGACAGGGTTCTAAGCATTTATGATAGAGTTCTAAACGTTTATGATTGGGTGGAGAAGGAATTTTAAGAATGGATCCTCCTGAATGAGGGACTCTTCACTTCTGATAAGAGTCCAACTTTTAAGTTCTGGTTGTGTTCCAGTCCTTCGGTTCCATGGAAGGAGAGATCTTTGGCCCTATGGTCATTTCAGGTCAATATTTCTTCTTATGTGCATGCTCTGGCTATATGACTTTGCAGATTTTCTAAAAGACAATCCTTAATCACTTTGTTCATAAGAGATAGGGTCTGCTGGAACTCACTCTAAATGGGCTTGTGCCTACAAATCCACCCTTTTTGTTGTCCATTCCTCAATCTTGTGGGAACAGGGTATTGACTGCTCTGTTTCCTGCTATTAAGGGACATAGGCCTAACAAGGACTTGAGGAATGATCAGCTTTTAACTGTAACTACTCACAAGTTTCAGAGCATTGTTCTTGGAGGGATTGATATCCTTGGGTCTCTGGGGATAGACTTGACAATAGAATTGATAATATCAAGCCTGAACAGAAGGTGTAATAAGACCAACACCAAATGACCTATGAGTAAATATGGCCATTCCTCATTGGGAAGAACTCCTTATTTATATAGAGATGTTAGTGTTGGAGGGAAAGTGACATCTCTATCTTGGCTTTGGGGCATTGTACATATTTAAAGCAGATGTACAATGTATGCCCAGGAGGCCACATCAGGTCTTTTTGTAAAAATAAGATTAGACCAAATTAATTTTAAACCAAATGACTCCCTCATATATTCGAATATATCCTATTGCTCTCCATTTATTTATTATTTCTCCCTTTTTTGTTTGATAACCTCTCAATCAATAGAAAGCATTGATGATCAAAATATCATCCCTCAATGCCAGAGTGGTTGCTGCCTGCCCTGGCCCACCAAGTCCCTTGGTGCTAGGCTTTTATAGGCCTTTGGCCTACTTATCCACATTGAGGGGAAATCGTTGACAAGCATTGAGATATAGATACTAACAGAGGAAGATTTTCATATGTTTTTCAATTAACTTTAGATGGTTGTGGAAACATTCTACATGTGCTTTTTATGACTCTTTATATTTACATTCTTTACAATTATAGAAAATACTATTTTTGTTTTTTTTTAAAGATTGGCACCTGAGCTAACAACTGTTGCCAATCTTCTTCTTTTTTTTCTCCTTTTCTGCTTTTTCTCCCCAAATCCCCCCAGTACATAGTTGTAAATCTTAATTATGGGTCCATTTAGTTGTGGCATGTGGGATGCCACCTCAACATGACCTGATGAGTGGTGCCATGTCCATGCCCAGGATCCAAACCAGTGAAACCCCAGGCCACCAATGCAGAGCACATGATCTTAACCACTCAGCCATGGGGCCAGCCTCAAAAAGACTAGTTTTAAAATAAGTTCTTAAGCTTTATCAGAAAGCAAAATTCATCCAGAGTCATAAAATTGATCGACCATCTCAAGTTGATGAGCCATCATTATTTTAGCTTGCTTACTAGTCTTACAACACTGAGTAAAGAAAACAGTAATCTGTTTGAATACTATGATTAATGCAAAGATTCCAATGAGTAATAGAAATAGGAACTGTAATCCAGATTACAAATAGAAACCATTACCTGAGTGAAGCCAATCAAATAAATCAAGCCTGGGTGTGGGATCACTCAAGGCATTCCCTTGCTTTCTCACGTACTCTAACAGGGAGACACACTGAAAGATTCATCAGGTATTTAAACACCACATACATGTACCACCTTGGGAGGCTGTTAGAATATCTAAGACCATTCTGTTTTGAAGGACAGCCTTCCTCATTAATGACACTTTAGTATTTAACAAGGTTATTCCTGCTTGACTATTGTTAAGGACTTGCTGAGTAAATTTAGCAGAGCTTCTATATATGCTATAACATCTCCTAGCCCCAAGGGAGAAACAAACACAGCTGCTAGGTGGTCATACCAGTGGAACACGGAATGAGCCCATCTGGCCTTAAGGAGAGGAAGACTGAAAACAAATGTTAGCTCAAGGAGAATCCTTACCTGCATCCAAGGGAAACCCAAGGTGCAGTGTCCTAGAAATCTGGGTTGTAGCCAAGACCAGAAATTTGTTCCACATAACCACTGGGTTCCATTAGGAGCTATCTGGTAAATTTCTGGCCATTGAGACCAGTCTGTTCCAAACCAATCACTTTCTTTAATTATGAAACTATTTTGACGTGACTCGGGGATATTCATCCCATATTTCTAGTGTAACTAGGAAAATTTTGCTTGGAATTATTTCTTTGTTCCCAATAAAAGGGTGCCAGTACATTTGAAGATCCATAACTTGGAGTAAGCCAAACATATCTACCCCAGATTTATGTATAACCTCCCACAGTTCTCTCAGTATTATCTATCTTCCTTTGTTTCTTTGCAAGTTGTTGGAATAATCGCATAGTCTGAGTAAGAGAGAAAGAGTAGCCATATCTTGTACCATTAACCGTATGGGCTATTGGCCACGTTTCAGGATCATAATTAGTAATATTGGATATACTACGAATCCTAGATCTTTCCATCGTAATAAATTGCTTTAAAGCTTTCCAATCTGTACCTTGTAAGGGAGAAATCCAGAAAGGTAACCCAGATCTACTAGAAAAAGGAAAGTTGGCCACATATCCAACAACTGGACTAAATTTCTGTGTGTGGCAAAGGAATGTGCCCATTGTAAAAAAAAAAACAAAACATTGCCATAAGAGGCCCATTCAGATGTGGATTAGAAAAATAGACATAATATCAGGAAAATCTTAAATGGCAGTTTTTGTGATTAATTGAAAAGTTTTTGTGATCAGGTTCTAATCTATCTTATAGCATTAGGGGATTAAGGTATCGGGGTAGGTAAAAAGGTAAGGCAATCTAGAAATTAATTTTTCTGGCAATTATATAGAGTTTAAACATTAAGAGGATTTAAATGAGGAGATATAAGGTTAAGAACACAGCCCTGGTCCAGAGTCGGGACAGCTGTCTACAACTGATGCCGTCTTCTTCTCATTCTAGTTTGGAGATATTTGTATTGGTCAGTCAAAGTCGGATAGGGAGTTGAAAGCTGTTCAGCCTGGAGTGGCTCAGAAACTCTGGAGATCCAAGAAGTTCCTCAGTTTTTGTTGCTTTTGCTGAAAAGTAACTTAAGATCAGTTTGAGAGTCACAGGAATACTCTCAGGTAGAACAGCTGTCCTTAGGGCTCCATGGCCACCCAATGTTTGGATGATTCAGCCCTTCCATTTCTTATTGCCAGTGAAGGGTGTCACCTGTTTGAGAATTATAAAGGAGATGAGGGAGGTCCTTGTTGGAAATGGATACTACTTTTACTCATGAGAAGCTAGAAGCATATTTATGTATAGCAGATAAAGTAGCGCCTGGAGACCGTACACATTTAATAGCATCCAATTCTTTTACTACACGACCATTTTCAAGATTGCAATAATACTTAGTCTTAAGGAAGAGCCTTCCATATTGCATTTCATAAGGGCTTAACGGAAGTCTACTTCTAGGGGCTACTCTTACCCTAAGCAGGGCAACTGGCAAGACCTTATCCCAGTTTAAGCTGATTTCCTGACATATTTTGACGATTGTTTTCTTTAAGGTATGATTCATCTTTTCAGGCTTTCCTGTAGACTGAGATCTCCATGAAGTCTGTAACTTGCATTGTATTCTGAGGGCTCCAGAAACCTTTTGTGTTACTTAAAAGCTCCTCCGTTGTCACTGGGGATTGAAAGAGGCAGCCCAAAATAAGGGATAATCTCTTTTAGTAAGGCTTTTGTTAGTTCAGAAGCCTTTTCTGTCCTGCATGGAAAGACTTTGACCCATCCTCTGAAGCTGTTTACAAAACCCAGAAAATATCTATAATTTTCCATGGCTTTTGGCATAGCAGTAAAGCCTATTTGCCAATCATCTCCTGGTTCTGTCCCTCAGGTTTACACCCCTTTGATATTGGGCACTCACCAGGTTTGGGGATTGTTTCTGACACAAATCAAGCAATTTTGCACTACCTTTTGGATAATCCTTTGCATTTGTGGAATGCAATAAACTTTTGTATCCAATGATAGGTTGCATCTCTCCCACAATGGGTTCCCTGATGTAAGTGAGTAATGATTTTTTCCATTAGGTACTCAGGTATAAGCACTAGTCCTGGTTCATTATAAATCCAGGCTACTTTAGTTGTTTACCAACTAAATCAATATTGATTACCATCTGAGCTCGAGAGTCTATATGAAATTCCCATTTGTCTACTCTGTTTAAATCCATTTCTGAATACTGAGGCTTAAAGAGGGACAGATCCGTACTCAGGATGAGTGCTAGGACCTCAGGATCTGGGTTTTTGGTTCTAGATACCTGTTTTGCAGCCTGATCAGCCAAATTATTTCCTTTAGCTATGGAACTATCAGTCTTTTCATGGCCCAGGAAATGTTTGATGGCCACATCTTCTTCATCATAACAGAATCTAATAAGGCCAGTATCTCTTCTGCATGTTTAATTTCTTCTTCCTGAAGTTAGATGACCTCTCTCTTTTTATATAGCCATATGCATGCAAAACAGAGAAGGCATACTCAGAATCAGTATAAATGATTACCTTGCTCTTAGCTCCAAGATGCAGGGCTCTCATGAGGGCTATGAGTTCTGCCTTCTGGGTAGATGTACCTGGAGGGAGTGCTTCTGTGTCTAGGACTGCATGATGAGTTACTATTGCATACCTGGACTTCCGAAGTCTATGGTCCATGAAGCTGCCCCCTCAGTAAACATTTCCATAACCAGATTCTCCATAAGCTGGTCAGTCAGGTTGGGCCTGCTAAAATAAACATCTTCAGTTATCTGTATACCATGATGGACAGGTTCTCCTGTCGCTGTGGGAAGCAAATTGTCTGGACTTAGGGTAGATATCACTTTTAATTTTACATTTGAGTTGTCCACTACTGTGGCCTGATATTTGCCCAGTCTCCCTGAAGCCAGCCAATATCCACCCTTTTGTTTAAGTAGAGGTAGCACACAATATGGAGTGTGCAGAATAGTAGGCTGGCCCAGGGTAAATTTTTCAGCCTCTCATAAAAGGCCACAGGTCACGGTTACAGCCTAGAGGCAAACTGGTCAGCCTTGAGTTATGACATTCAATTGTTTGGAAAAGTAAGCTACTGACCTT